CGAGCATGACCGGCCTGGTCGCCATCGGCGTGGGTCTCCTGGCGGGAAAGCTCGGGACCATCAACTACGTCATTTCCCTCGTCAGCGCCGCCATCCGCGGCCCCCTGTGCGGCCTCTTCTTCGTGGGCATGTGCGCCCCCTGGGTCAATACCAAGGTATGCTAACTGGCGCCGCAAGAATAGGCAGTGCACAGATGGGCCATAACACCGGGAGGCGGTGTTCGGTTTTAGCAAATGAAATCCTGCGTTCACAAGCTGGTTTATCATTTATATTTTTTTCATACTCATCCCCTTAAGGTGAATTCGTTCGGTTTCTCTGCCGCACAGCGGAACTCTCTAGCTTCTCTCCTTGTCACTCCTCTGCCTCAGTTAATGGCTCTCTTCCTGCTTCAGGGCGCCATGGCTGGTCTGGCGTTTTCGCTGATCGTCAACATATGGATGGTGATCGGGCGCTTCGTGGTTAGCGGGAAGCAGCCCGTACGGCTCCCGTTGTCCCTCGACGGCTGCCTCGACCAGCTAGCGGGGACGCCGACGGCGCTCAACGCGACGCTTGGCCTCCTCGCCAACGCCACCGCCGACGCTTTCACCGCCGTTGCTGCGTCCAAACCAGAGTCAGTCAGTTAGCATTGTCAATCTTATCATATTACTGTTGTTGCTGATGGCAGTTATACAGCATTGTACTATTATAAAACATTTATAATAAGAATATTTTTATTTCAGTTTTAATGTTGATATCACCATCATTATCATTATCGTTATTATTATTATCATTATGTGGGAAAGCTCTGCTAAAGGCAAGGTTCTAGGTGAACTTTTAACGATGGTCGTGTGGTCACAAGTCAATACACAACACAAATACAATAAACTATTCAGGGCCCTCACAACACAAACATGCACTTAGGTATCTTATCACATGACCAGTCTCGACCTCTGTTCATATGACCTGCCCTACTGATTTTAGTTCCACCGACTCCCCGACTGAGGGTATAGGCCAGATATGCGAAGCTGAACCTCGCCCGGGCTATGCATATGAAGGGAGTCCGGCTTGTACCAACGAATGCCGACTTAGAATATGTTAGCTGGTGCTGACTCGACTCGTTAATACCCATCGTGGTGCCCAGCCACAGCAGTAACCTCCAGGTGTCAATTGCAACTTCTCGCGCTTGGGCCGAGGCCGACAATTCATCTCTGTACTAGCCTAATTGAGGGTGAGTACCAGGTTTCCATGCATAATTGGGAACGTCGGATACCTTTCCCCATTACCATAGATTTGAACACCTGCATGACTCACCTATGCTGACCCGTTGTAGTTACTTGTCTGTGAGGGATTTGTCACTAATCCTAAAGAAGAGGTCATACAAAGGAGAGGTCCAAGCGTCTTCACGAGACAATTCTACAATCCTCCCACGGGCGGGAAACTCAAAGAGTTAGAGGGACCTCCCAGAAGGTATCACATATATACAGTTACATGATTACAAAAAAGGTCCTAAAGCCCAAACATGTACCACATAAATCGACAATAGTTACAATACAATACAAGACATGATGTCATACATAGTTTGCAGTCTTGCATATCAAAACACATATTCAGATCGATGTCAGGCACTTCTTGTGGGTCACGTCTTCCTGTGCGTCGTGTGGTGCACTCAGCAGCAGTTATCGTGCCTGGTGTGTTCTATACCTGCATAACAGCGACCCAATTTGTCCACCACAAGCCTTCTTCACTAGACTTACCATCAGGAAGTCACTGATCCTGACCTACAACCGGGTAGTACTCATTGCCCTAGAAGTGGCTGTTTCTGGTGGAGGCGCCTCCTGACAGGATGGGCATCATCATTGTCGGGTCTCTTCGCAGTTTTCATATCGTACTTAGCATGCTGCATCCAGAGGGCCTTCTGCTTCTACAAGAGAAGTTGTGACTTCTCCCTCTGCTGGACAGCAATTCGAGGCAACGCGGATTCTCGCAGGAGGCTCCTGAGACGTGCTTCATTGCGAGTGTTCGTAATCTTATCCATGCCTTCCACAGGACTGTGTGAATCCTAGGAAGGGCCAGGACCTACACTCCTGGGCTTTAACACTGTGCCAGAATCCGACATCCTAGGCTTCGGTACACTTTCTTCATAACTCCTGGGTCCGCACTCGTCGCCGTTCTTAGGTCGTTGATCGTTGTCCAAGTGTCCAGGCCATCGTCACTTTTGCACTATACCATGGCGACTAAAAGGCGACGGGGCGCCTCCTCCGACGGCGGTCGTACTCGCTCCACTGGCGATCCTGTGCGTTGGCACGGTGTCGTGGCGAGTTTACTGGCCAAGCTGGAACAGTTAGACGTCGGAACTTGGGCGCAGATTTCCTGCGAACCGATGTTGTCTGAAGGAGGTGGCTATTGTAGCACTCCATGTGAAGAACGAACTTTTCCGTCGGGTATACGTGCTCCAGCCGAACACTCGGAGATGAAGCAGAGGACAGGGCAGCGCTGTCGCCTTTGAGAGTTCGCTGAAACG